TAAAAATAGAAAAGAAAGAAGGGTTGGGTATGTTTGCCCCTTTCACTTTGTCGGGAAAAATCCTTGTTAATGAAATCAGGGCATCTTGTTATGCGGTTGTAGAGCCGAAAGTAGCCCATGGCGCCCTCGAAGGTCTGCGAGCGATGTATAAAGATCCAGCTAGAAAAGATGAATTGGAAGACCTTCTGAGACCAAACCAGATGGGAATACCACAAGTATTCCACGAAGCTTTCAAATCTTTGCTTGACGCAGAAACTGTGTAAAATTATATGAACAATTTTCTATCGACCAGTAAAAAAAATGTTTGGCTGATGCCAGTAAACTTATTACAATATAAACTTATTTGTGCATAAACAGGTGTTAGAAAGTAAAAATACGATACATAATGCTATGAAAACAGAATATGATTTGGATAAGTTGCTAGAAACTGTCTATAATATTACATTGAATAATATTTTTCTAATTTCAAAATGTGTAGAAAATGTCATAAAGCCCATTGTACTTTATATAATTTGTGTAATCCACCATCAACTGTTAATAAACTACAGGTATTATAAAATGAGATACTGACTTCTTTCTCACACTTCTATTTAGCTGTTTCAGCAACAAGTGTTTCACTAGGTCAACCTACGTAGCGCTTAACCGGTTGTTAGATCAATCTTTAATTACTTGGTGACCATTTCAAAAACGACGAAAGCACCACCCTGAATAATTTACAGATTTTTACATCTGCTGCTCAGTACACTAGGGTATCATGCAAATCGATTAAATCGTTTTAATAAACTAAGCTACGGAATCTTCGGGGTCTTTCAGAGAGAGAGAGAGAGAGAGAGAGAAATGGGGTTTAACGTCCACTTGACACAAACTAGGTCATTTCGGGACTAAGATATGGTTTAATTTTATTTCAATAATTCGCTTGCGCGTAGGGGTCTTTAGCAGTGGGAGGAAACCGGAGGACCCGGAGAAAACCCACGAGGCTGGACAGGCGACCCTACTCCTTGTCACGTACAAACGGGGATTCGAAACCACGCCAGTTGACTCAATGACAGGCCTTATGATACAGCACGCACGTGCTAACCATTCGGCCATCCAACCCCCCGGGTCTACTTTTATTATTGTTTGCTCCCGTGAGCGCACAGAGGTCGTCAGCGCGGTGTATTCAGACAATCTGACTTTTCGGGCAGACGGGTAAAGTGTAAAAAAAAATGATGATATCTAGGTGTCAAAATAAAGTGCCGGAAATCTAATAAAACACTAATTTTACTTTTCTTTTAATTGAATACCGCGAATTTGTACTGAACTGACCAGGGATTAAAACATTTTGTCTGGAGCCACACTGCTTTGTGCGACAAATTATTATTTGCGTATGAATCTGCAACCGTTTGATTGGATGATTGGAATTCAGGTCGGCATAGAGTGTAGTCTCGGTCACACAGAACCTCCTAGTCTTCAACGTACGGAGGGTCTGGGACCGTTGTCAATATTTGACGAAAGGTTACATTTCCCATGCGTAACCGGGTGTTTGGTTTTTTATGTGGTTGATTATCCAGTATCTTTGTCCAAGTCAAGTAAGACTTGTGTCCCTTCTAGCAATAATTCCCATAATTCTTAACATTAATATTCTAAACAGCAAAAAAAAAAAACGTCAATACGATTTCAAAATCAGAGAGGCACTTTAATCAAATCATTCTAGAAAACGACTTACTAAATGGATCAAAGCAATTTTTTGTGAACAGTGTGTTGACACATAAGTGATTAATTCATCACAATTCCAAGACATCACAAGAAGATTTAGAGTCTGTACACAGTCTATACATCAGTATCTGGTGCTTCCGCGAGTGTCAATAACAGCAGCGCAGCGTCTGTACATGGAGTGGACCAGACGATTGATGAACGCCATTGGCGCCTGGAACCACACTCTCAGACAAGCCTGGCGCAATCCATACGCTGTGTTTCGTCTCGGTACGACGTTATTAAGTCTCCTCTGAATTTCATCCCAAAGATGTTCAATCGGGTTTAAGTCCGGACTAAGGGCTGGCCAGTGCATAACGTTGACACCGTTCTGCTGTAGAAAGTCCCGGGTAACTCTGGCGGTGTTGGCACGGGCGTTGTCATGCTGGAAAACGTTGTTTTGATGACGTGCGAAATGTGGTATGACGTGAGGTCTGAGAGCTTGATCGATGTTGCGCCGTTGGCAAAAAAGGTTGAGAACCACTGGTCTACCAGTTCGGGGCGATCATCCGTGGTGTTGGCGGCCCGAAAGCGTTACTGAAGCATGTAGATGGTCCGAACATTGACCTTGAAGTGATTGGCAACGGCTTGGGCAATGTGGCCAGCGTCGAGTCTTCCAAGCGCCCAGTTCCTCGGAGCTGTCGTGAGTCGTGGCATGCTGCTGACGTTGTAGTGTGAATGATTCAACCAGGTATGGGGATGCATTTTATAGGACTGGTCCCGGTGAACAGCACGTGCATCATGAGAACACATTATCATCTCAGAAGTCAGGTTGCGTTTTTGAGAACATTTCCTGGGTTCAATTCTGTGTTTGGTCACAAATATACAATAAAAACATTTTATGCAATGCGTCTATTCAGAGTAACATACCAACCTCACGTTTCGTTTGCTGCTTAGTGTATAAACAAACATGAATCGTGACGACGAATTATGATTAATTAAAAAAAAACAACATAGATATGGCCCATGAAGAGAGGAATTTAACAATAAAAAAATTAAAAGTGTTGGATATTGAACTGGGAATGCAGTCAAATGGATTTTCTGAAATGGCATTCTTAAATTAATTTTATGGGCGTCAACATCTTGTTTTAGGACTAGGTACCTAAAGACCGGACTAAAAGACCGACGGATATTCGAGCCATTGACCTATTATTCTCAAATGTTGACAACGCATCCAGACTAATATTTGTAAAAAAAAATTCTCGATGATAGAGACTACATAGAGTGGGATTTCGGTTGCTAAACGATTGGACAACTTTGAAGTAACTTAACTCACGGGCTAAATAGCAGAAAACTCATGTTTGTGTTGGTTAAATTTTCGAAATTTTCTCGGGGAAGGCGAAGCTCCCATACCCCCGACGATTGAAATTGAGTGGTTGTTTGGGATTCAGGTCAGCCACCGAAGTTAGGCTGTATTGAACCATATTGAAATTGCTGTATTCACTGACTGGAATAGCAGAAAAACGCGTTTGCGGTCGTCAATGGTTCGAATTTGTCTTTGGGAGGTCTGTAAACGGTAATTTTTTCGGGAATTTCAGGTCTGCCCCCCCCCCACCACTCGAAATTCATAGTCCATACACCTATGTCCGTGCCGCCCTGACACTTTTTCGGTTGGCCTATGACGTTACTCCGATACTTTATTATGGCCCAATGAAAATGAAAATCCGTATAGTTTTTGGGAAGCAACAGTTAATTTATATAATCTGTTAATTAGGAGGCTCAGCGCGGTGGTGTCCATCAAATAGGCACAAAACCAAACCTCAACTTTTCTATAGTAAAATTTTACGTAGAATACGTTGCCGAGTGGTAATTAGTGCCTCGTTGTGCGTTTTCGAGATATTCGGGGTCAAAGGTCAAATGAGGTCATTTGCACTGAAAGTGAATCAAATAGGCACAAAACCAAATCTCAACTTTTCTATAGTAAAATTTTACGTAGAATACGTTGCCGAGTGGTAATTAGTGCCCCGTTGGGCGTTTTCCAGATGTTCGGGGTCAAAGGTCAAATGAGGTCATTTGCACTGAAAGTGAATGCGCAGCCATTCTTGTGTCATGAAAACATGCCGAAGATGATCGAAAGTAATCACTCTTTCAAAAAAAATGTAAACTTGCTAAATTCACCTTTTTTTTTACTTTGTAACCCCCGTGACCCCGGGGGTCAAAAGGTCAAATATTTCGTTTTTGAAGATTTAAAGCAATAAATGTCAACGAAAAATATAAAAACTAAAGCGAAACCTGTTCTTATTATTAATAGGACATTTAAAATTTATCTTCAGGTGGCCTTAGCACCGAACTTTTACTTTGGAACGTCGAAAAAGATCTTGCGTATTCTACGCAAAATTTTACTATAGAAAAGTTGGGTCTGGTTTTGTGCCCATTTGATGGTTTTCGGGGTCAGTTAATTCAGATATAAACATAAAATTATGTTCCGATCAAATTGATTTCAATATGGCCTCTATATTCAAAATGACGACCACATTTGGTGAAATATTTTGATGTTAGTAATGTGATGGTGTAATACATTAACTATGGGTTATCGGGGTCCCCAAATTCATACCTAAACAGTAAAATGTGCTATGACCGAACGAAATGCCAATATGGTTCTCAAATTCGACATAGTAGCTAAGTTTAGGGGATCATGAAAGAAAACTTATAGTTTAACGTATTACTCCATCGCCGTGTGACCAAGAAAAAAAATAAAACTTTTGTTAAGTAAAGCTATTATGACGCCATGACGTTATAGTTTTTATGGCGTCATAGTTGGGACCAAAAATGGCGCCTGTAAATGAGTTGTAACCAAGGAGTATTAATATTTATACTCCTAGGTCGTAAACCATTGACGTCCAATGGTCGTAACTTTCCCCATACAGGGCTTTGGCTCAGCCATTCGTGTGAGGTAAGATGCTGTAATAATATGACATCATCAATCAATCTTAACTTCATCAACGTGGCAAGAATATAATTCGTTTCTTAGAATATGTCGGGATAACCAAAAATATTTTTCACAAATGGGAATACCAACAATTTCTCAACAGTAGTTTAAATCATGCACACCGTAAATCCGAAATTGTGCAATGTGGCGGAAGTTTACTCCGATCCCGTGCAGAAAAGTAGGTCGTCAAACCCCAGTTCATTTCATAGGATATGTTGGGAATACCAAAAGAAATTCCATTTGACAGAAATATGATAAATAAAATTAACAATGGGAAAACAAAAATAGGGTTCAATTTGACGTGCTCCTTCACGGCTGTCCTTCAAATCAATATCGTTGCAGTAAGTTTCAACCAATGGAAATACCAAACTGACGAATGAATAAGATGCCTAAAATAGTGCTTCTTTGGGCATTTTATAAATTTCCCTATAAATACGAACAAATTAAAATTACTTACCAGTAGGTGCGCAGACTTACTACTTTACAATCATCCACGATGGGTAATAATCCAGAACGAGACGATAAATTAAACGTAAGTCATTTTATTCTTTTATTTATTTAAAAGACAATCTAAAATGAATACACAATTATTATCAAACGTTGATTTGGACCTGCTTATAATATGACGATTTAAAAAACCAATCTTATTATCACTTCACCCGTCGACAGGACTGTAAGATTTTCATGGATTGTTTTGAAACTGTATACAGCTTGAAAGCATAGGGAAAATGTGCACCACCCTTTCTTGACACTGTTTCGTTACTTTGTGGCAATTTATGACACCGTATTTGCCACTATTTATAAAACTAATTAGTTATTTATTTATTTTTTTTTTTTTTTTTTTTTTTTTTGTATTTGTTCTGTAGGAATTGGGCCAGTCTCATAAAATTGTATCTTGCGTCTCGGCAGAAAAACACGGGGTGTTTGGGATCGCAATGAAAATCGAGACTACACTATTTTTATCAAAACTAAAACATTCATAACTTCATTAATTTGGCTCAAATTATCAATATGTTAATTTCTTATTATTTATTATCTATTTTCAAACGTTTATAGCGAGAACAGTCAGCTCTCTATTTAGATGTTACTTAACGCATCTTTAAATGTTAAACATACATTATGCAAGAGCCAAATCTGCCTATTGCGTGTCTTTCTTTAGGACTGAAATGTTATCTAAATTATTAATAAGACATTAACTAACTTATCCAGACCATAATCAACTCTGTCAATGCTAGCCTGCGATATTTACTGGATTAGTATCCCATTTGCTGCTCAACTTTCATTCATGATTTAATCATGAAATGGATAATCGAGACTATGTTTTTATCGTACCGACTTTAGTAATGATGATCGAGACTGGGCAGAAAATTCAATCACTGAAATCTCGGTACAGAGTGGATCAATTTGACTGAAATTTTCAGCAAATTTCCTTTACATTATCTAGTTTTTAACTTTTAGAGTGAGAACTGTTAGCTCTTTATCTAATTTCCCATAATTTATCTTTAAGTATTCAATTTGGGTACACACACTTAGCGGGGATTAAGCAGTGTAGGAAAATCCATATCGATTATTAAATGTCACGATTGCATATTTGATTCATTGTATGTTTAAGTGATATTTTGAAAAGACTGGAAAATATATCTGGTATTCCAACATCAATATTGTATCAAAATGGTTGCTTACTTGATCAAATTTAGAAATTATATTGGGTGCGGTCAGGTAAATTTCTTAAACAAATCCATATTAAAATGAGGCGATTGGAAAAATTTCGTGAACAACTGAGAGGGAGAGAAATGGGGTTTAACGTCCACTCGACACAAACTAGGACATTTCGGGACTAACATATTGTTCAATCTTATTTCAATAATTAGCTTGCGCATGTGGATCTCTAGAAGTGGGAGGAAACCGGGGAACCTAGAGAAAACCCATGAGGTTGGACAAGCGACCCTATTCCTTGTCACGTACAAGCCGTGAATCGAAATCACGCCATTTGACTCAATGGCATACCTTATCCAATGCGCACGCGTTAACCATTCAGCCACCTCTACCCCACCCCCTCCTGAACAACACCAAAGCATAAATACATGTACAATATGCATTCGTTTGTTTGTTTCCAAATGAATCTTAAGTCCCTGGAAATTATTTATAGGAGTTACTTCCAATAAAAGAATGGCATATCTGGTATATACAACAAGTATTATTTAAAGCAGCTTTTAATATATTTTAGTCCAAATATATCATCAAATCATAAAGTTTTTACGCGAGAAGGCATCTTGAATTAATGGCTGTTAGGAAAACGGATTTCAAATAAATCCAAATATTCGCCGCTAATTAATTCTTTTCGTTCTATCTAGTTGATCGAATTGTTTAATTGTTTCATATGTTTGCATTTTAAGCCACGGCCGAAGCCGGAGGATGAGAATATGAAAAAAAGAAGGGAGGAAGCAGAGAAGAGGCGGAAGAAGGAGTCTTGGTGGTGTATCATTATGTGAATTGCAGTTTTCTTCATAGACCAGAACAAAAATGTTTGGCTGAATCCAGTATATACAAAAGTTAAACTTGTTTGTGCATAAACATGTGTCAGAGACTACAAATACGATCATATAACCAAATTATAAATAAAACAGACATCACAACAAATTAGAAGTTTTAAAAGAGTGTTTCTCTGTAATGTTAATCTTTTCTCCAATTTGGATAAGTTGCTAAAAACAGTAGAATTGTCTATAATATGACATCGTATATTTTTCTAATTTCATAATTTTACCTGGTCTAGAAAATGTCACAATTTCAATTTTAATAAAATATTAGGAAATGATAAATTGTCTTTTTTCGCCCATTTCTATTTAGGTCTAGGGTAGCAAAACATAATATCACTGTGTCAACCTGCGCAGCGCATGATCAGTTGTTGGGTCATTCTTTAATTACCTTTTATATATTTGACCTGGGGAATTTGGCAAGGGATCTAGTCGTGCCCCATTACGTGTTTAAATCATTACACGCTCAACAAGAGCTCGTGGTCCCCAAAACTTTGAGATATTCGTACCTGGGTTTGATCTCTTTTTGCACATGAAATGACAGTATTTTCAAGTTATGCACCACTGAATTAGCCTGGGGTCATCTAGCGTGATGAGTATACAACAGTTGGGCTCGCTTTCCATGAACGCAAAAACGACCTGTTTCCTCGAGCTTTGTTTTCTATTTCCATGAGTACTGAACATGTGTGGGAATTCCTCGTAAATGATGTCATGGGTGGGGTTTCTATTTACAGCGTGGAGGCAGACGTTGTTTTCGTTTAATCTGTAGAAATGGCCTTGTTCGTTTTGTAGAAATCTGTACAAAAGTTTGATACTTCGTATCACTGACCCAAGGTATGTTAATAAATGATATCGTAGATCGTCTTAACAGTTTGTAAATGAAATGAAATGAAATGGGGTTTAACGTCCTACTGTTCTACTCCTAAACTGGGCTAATGAAGACGGGCATACACCATACAGTGTGCAATGAGGGAGATTTTGCCCGGGCAGCGGCACTACGGCCTACTCTTATATCGAATTCCAAATGCCAAGGGATATTTTACGTGCACGCCAATGTGTACACAGGACCTCGTTTTTTCGTCCCATCCGCACGACTAGACAGCTGTCCTTGTCAGGCCCTCCGCCCTGCATCACTGACAAGGGGAAACCACGCCGGAAAATCTGGATGAACTTACTCGGCCAATGCAGGGATCGAACACCCGACTTACAGGCTAGCGAGCCAGCGTCTTACCCACTTAGCCACCGTTATCTCCCACATAGTTTGTAACCTATGGCACAAATTGTGCATACCAATCATAAGGTTATTGAATTTAGTTTCCATCTTGAAATAACCACTCTTCGTAATAAGAATCACTGTTATTCATGTATACTAGTTAATTACTTATACATTATGATGGCCATGTGAAATCTCGCCCTTTTCATAACCCGATATTACACGACGTCACGACCCACGACAGCATTCTGTCGTAAAATCGTGTTATTTTGTCGTCGTCTCGTATCCTCGATTTATCGCCTTTGGTTTGTTTCTACAAGACACAAAAAACATACTTTTGCTACCACTATATTTGGACTCATTACATCATGTAAGAAGCAAAATAGATAAATATAATTAAGACTGGTACAACAGAGATAATAGGAAAATGTTGATTAATTATTTGTTTTCTCAAAATAATGGAAGATTTTGCGTTCAAAGGGAAATAATATTTGGTATTATATGCAGATAATCTAGAATTACAATAGCAGTGATTTGAAAGCTTTTGACCTGACTAAACTATCGCTCCAGTTATCTATAAGTATTGACGGGTGTCGTACACGAGTCAAGGTATGCTTACTGTTTCGAGACTCCTGACACCACTTATTATTCAAGGAATTTATAACATAGCTAACTAACTTTCGCCCTAATTCGTTTCTTGTGGGAATCACCACAAAATGTTTGGGCATACCAAATAAATTTCTCAGTATGATTAAATCAGAATACATCATCAATATTTTAAACCATGCACATTAAAACATATATTTGTTTACCTGACAGAAACATAATTCGATTCCTGGAATGTGTGGGGAATACCAAATAATAATTCATGTAACAAAAATTTCCCATTTTGTATAAAACTATATAATTGTAAGGCGTGCATACAGTAAGCTTTATTTTTAGTCAGTAACATAATTCTTATACTGTTGTCGTTTTTTGCTGACCTGACAACTGGACAAAAATAACTTATTGTTAAACCTATTGTTATTAAATTGAAATGCAAAACATATTACCTGATCATTCTATAAGTAACTCGTTGGCTCGCTGACCTTGTGATCACGTCTTTGATCATGGGTGGGGTTTCTATTTACTGCGTGGAGGCAGACGTTGTTTTCGTTTAATCGGTAGAAATGGCCGTTTTCGTTTTGTAGAACTCTGTACAAAAGTTTGATACTTCGTATCACTGACCCAAGGTATGTTAATAAATGATATCTTAGATCGTCTTAATAGGCAACATCATTTTCTATACACAGTTTGTAACCTATGATACAAATTGTGCATACCAATCATAAGGTTATTGAATTTAGTTTCCATCTTGAAATAACCACTCTTCGTAATAAGAATCACTGTTATTCATGTATACTAGTTTATTATTTATACAAATATGTTCATAGGTTACATTATGGTGGCCATGTGAAATCTCGCCATTTTCATAACCCGATAACACGACGTCACGACAGCATTAACGCCATCATACGACACTTTATTCTGTCGTAAAATCGTGTTATTTTGTCGCCGTCTCGTATCCTCGACTTATCGTCTTTGGTTTGTTTCTACAAGTATTGTCGGGTGTCGTACACGAGTCAAGGTATGCTTACTGCTTCGAGAACTCAAGACACCACTTATTATTCAAGGAATTTATATCATAGCTAACTAACTTTCGCCCTAATTCGTTTCTTGTGGGAATCACTACAAAATGTTTGGGCATGCCAAATAAATTTCTTAGTATGATTAAATCAGAATACATCATCAATATTTTAAACCATGCACATAAAAACATATATTTGTTGACCTGACAGAAACATAATTCGATTCCTGGAATGTGTGGGGAATACCAAATAATAATTCATGTAACAAAAATTTCCCATTTTGTATAAAACTATATAATTGTAAGGCGTGCATACAGTAAGCTTTATTTTTAGTCAGTCACATAATTCTTATACTGTTGTCGTTTTTTGCCGACCTGACAACTGGACAAAAATAACTTATTGTTAAACCTATTGTTATTAAATTGAAATGCAAAACATATTACCTGATCATTCTATAAGATGCCTGAAAATAGTGTTTAATTGGGCATTTCCACATTTTTTTTTTATCATTATTATTTTTTTAAATTTCTTATAAAAATGTACCAATTGAAAGTACTTGTCATTTATTAGGGGCACATGTAAGTGATCTTTACAATCTGAAGTCATATTGATAATCAGTAATCATTCACGGCGGGTTATAAGATCATGGGACGTGATAATAAGCCAGATTATGAATTAAATGTAAGTCATGTTTTATTTATTTATTTATTATTTAGACACGAAAAATATAGACTAAAGCAACACATTCGGTGGATTCGTTTTATCAATTTGCCAAAACGGCCAAATGCCTTAAGTGATCCTTACAATCTGAAGTCATATTGATAATCAGTAATCATTCACGGCGGGTTATAAGATCATGGGACGTGATAATAAGCCAGATTATGAATTAAATGTAAGTCATGTTTTATTTATTTATTTATTATTTAGACACGAAAAATATAGACTAAAGCAACACATTCGGTGGATTCGTTTTATCAATTTGCCAAAACGGCCAAATGCCAAGACTGGGTCTTTTTGATCAAGATTGAACAACGCCAAATTCATGCATGGTACGCATTCGTCTATTCGTTTCCAAATGAATCTTAATTAATTAGTTATTGGCTGTTGAAAGACGGATTTTAAATTAATTTAATAGTAGCCAGACAATTACCGTAATGATTTAGGTGCCATTTAGTTGCTTGAACTGTTTCATTGTCTCATACTTAATATTCTTATTTTAAGCCGAGGCCGAAGCCGAAGGGTAAATGCTTCCCAGCCAACACCAAAGTTTACACCAAAGATGGCGTAAAATATATTCAAGATGTTCAAGTCGGGGATCTTATACATGACGGTGAAGGGTTCACTGAAGTCTGGGTTCATGCTCATTATGATATTACAACAGAAGTAATATATTACCAAATACAAACAGAAAAGAACCACATACTTATTAGCGAGGATCATTTTCTCGATGTTAAGGACCCGAAACCAGCATCAAGCATCTACAAAATGGCGAATCAAGTTACGGTAGGTTCATTTTTGTGATCTGAAAATCTTATGTGTTTAATTTTGGTTTTTGGGCCATCTTTTTCTCTATTGGGCCCCGCTCTTCGAAAAACGAAACAACCTAAGGTTCCACTAATGCAAGTACGATCGAAACTTGGCATGGTTGTTCCTTGGATAATTGCGTATCGATTGACAATATTTCTGTTTTTGATATGACTTCACAATTCCAAAATGGCAGCAATGACGGCATGCTCAGTTACAGTCATTATAAATATAAGCATTTATTGGAGCCACGGTGACTAAGTGAGTAAGACGGTGGCTCGCTAGCCTGGAGGTTGCGGGTTCGCTCACGGTGCAATCTGGTTAAAAGGAAGAACTATACTTCGTTTCTTTTTTTATACCACCTGAAGATCTGACCAGTTGTACCCGAGGGTCCTGTCAGGGGTCATACGAGCGGCATTTGACCCTATGACGTCAAACATTGATAAATCAATCAGCCTTGGCGTTTCTAGGGTTTACCCACAGTTCCGTGTAGAGCACGACAAGAACTCGCCGTAACAGGCCGTTTCATTGGCTAATTCCTCACATCAACTAGAGTGCCTATTATATAACAACTCTTCCCGATCCGTGTGTTATGAAGACAAGTAAAAGAATTTTGAACTATAAAATACGAATCGAAATAGAATCAGATTGGCTCACGATGTTGGCCGAGAAAGTTCATCGGGATTTTACGGCGTGGGTTCCCCGTGTCAGTGGTGCAGGACAGGGGGCCTGACAAGGAAAGCTGTCTAGTCATTCGAATGGTAAAAAAAACGAAGTTCCATGTGTACATTGGCGTGCACGTAAAAGATTCATTGGCAACTGGAATTCGATATAAGAGTAGGCCTTAGCGCCGCTGTCGGGCAAAATTTTCCTCATAGCACACTGTATGGCGAATGCTCGTCTTCATTAGCCCAGACGGAGCAGAGCAGTAGGACGTTAAACCGCATTTCATTTCATTTCATATAATTTTATCATCAGGTTTTTTTTTCCAGACTGATGATTGCTTGATAAACAAAGAGGGAATGCCAGAAAAAATATTAAAAATAGAAAAGAAAGAAGGGTTGGGTATGTTTGCCCCTTTCACTTTGTCGGGAAAAATCGTTGTTAATGAAATCAGAGCATCTTGTTATGCGGTTGTGGAGCCGAAAGTAGCCCATGACGCCCTCGAAGGTCTGCGAGCGATGTATAAAGATCCAGCTAGTAAAGATGAATTGGAAACCCTTCTGAGACCAAACCAGATGGGAATACCACAAGTATTCCACGAAGCTTTCAAATCTTTGCTTGACGCTGAAACTGTGTAAAATTATATGAACAATTTTCTATAGACCATTAAAAAAATGTTTGGCTGATGCCAGTCAACTTATAACAATATAAACTTATTTGTGCATAAACAGGTGTTAGAAAGTAAAAATACGATCAGATTATAACGAAATTTTAATACATAATGCTATGAAAACAGAATTTGATTTTAAAAACAGTGTTTCTAAAATGTAAATCGTTTTCTTTTTTTTTTTTTAAATTTGGATAAGTTGCTAGAAATTGTCTATAATATTACATTGAATAATATTTTTCTAATTTCAAAATGTCTAGAAAATGTCATAAAGCCCATTGTACTTTATATAATTTGTGTAATCCACCATCCACTGTTAATAAACTACAGGTATTATAAAATGAGATAATGACTTCTTTCTCCCACTTCTAATTAGATGTATCAGCAACAAGTGTTTTACTAGGTCAACCTGCGTAGCGCTTAACCCATTGATAGATTGGTGAACGACGAAAGCGCTGCACTGTGCAATTTACAAATTTTTACTTCTGCTGTTTAGTACACTCGAGCATAACACAGTCGAATAATTCGTACAACTATTGATGTTACCCTAAGCTGTTTTGGGCCTTTCAAGCGGTATCATTAATTTATTTTAAGTTTGCTCCCGTAAGAGCATGCAAAAATTGCGCATGCCGACCATAGGTCGTCAGCGCGGGGTATTGGGTATAGTTTTCAACTAGCAATAACCACGCCTCGGAAATTCCTCATTGGCTATGGTACCGCCACTGCGCAAAGCTAATGATTAGAGTTTGAGATCGAGTATGAAATTTTTCCCAGTTCTAAAATTAGTGGTATGCAACTGAAAGCACATTTTCGGTATTATAAATTTACAGAAAAAGTAAATTATCAGTTTGATTTAATTATAAAATTGTTTGATACTATTCTCAAATTGTGGTATTAAATTAGTACAAAGTTTTATTTCCAAAATGTCATAAAATATGTATATTATTCGCAAAATATAACCAAGGGACGCAATTCAGTTTCAACGGTTTCACATTCGTTAGCCTGTCGCAGGATTAATGTTGTAAATCGTGTATATTTCGTTGCACCTGATCTATAATTTTGTATCAAACGAGGGGGAAAATAGTTTGGTGCATCTTGAAATTTTGCAATCCATGGTATACATTACAAAAAGTATAATTCGTTATCTAAAGTACAAAAAATGGGTCATAAATCATTAACATAATTCAATCGTAAACAGTAGTTACCTCCCTTCTGTCATATAGTTGTCCGCAAGCCATGCACTCTTATAGATACCTGCATTCATTGTTTATTGAAAAGAAAACATAAAAATGAACTTAGGCGTCCAATAAAAGTAAAATATCCTTTTTCATGTGTTATACATGTAGTCACACTGTAATTACATGTAGGCCTACTTCCCACGACCAATGTTCTTGTCCTTCGCTCCCTTCAATATGTAAACGTCAAAAAATGTAGTTACCTCCCTTAGAGACAATTCACAGATCCCTCTAAATTTTTGGGGAGCTGCGGTTGCTCTGTATGTAAGGGGCTGGTTCACTAACCAGACGGTACGTGGCTCAATCCCACTGTTGGCCGAGAATGTTTCCCAGAAATGGCCAGCGTGGTTTCCCCTGTCAGTAGTGCATGACGGAGGTCCCGTGTACACATTGGCTTAAACGTAAAAAAAACATGACAGTTGGAATTCGAAATAAGAGTAGGCCGTAGCGCCGCTGTCCGGGCTCTCTCATGGCACACTGTTTTCGTTATCCCAGTCGGTGCATAAAAGTAGGACGTTAAACCCCATTTCATTTCATTTTAATTTTTGAAAATACTACCTTCAGAAATGATCTTAGTCTGTTCTATGCGTTCCTAAATCAAATTATTCTTATCATTGACTGGAATGTATATTGTTTTGCCGTTTAACGTCCGCTTCCACCGTGGGTGGTATCACAGAAAAGTTGACTTATTTTTTTCTTGGTAGACCTACTTGCGCAGGGGTCTTCTCTGTGGGAGGAAAAGGGAGATGCTTTATTGTAGGCCTGTTGAGGAGGTTCGGGTATTTCCGGAGTCCAAAATGGCCGCTTTATATAAATGAGTATTTTGGGAAATACTAACCCGAACCCTAACTCCAACTCTAACCCTTTTAAGAGTGGTAAACACCCACCCGAACCTCCCCAACCGGCCAACAATTGCATATCCCGGAGGGAAACCGGTGTAGGCCTATGCAGAGTAAACCCGCGAGCGAGGTTGAGAAGGCGCCTCCTATCTCCTAACCACATACACTCACACCAGGCAACGAAACCACGACCGCAAGACAGAGGTGATTTGGCAGCTAGAGCTCGAAGCGAGACCACTAGGCTATCTCGACCCCCAACAACATTAATTGTCTCTTGTCTATTCTTTATAGTAGCAGTTAAATTTTAGTGCCAATCTATGTGTCTTGCACATACAAACGTTAATCAACTTCTTCTCGTCAACCCGACTACACAATTCTGAATTGAGACTTATCTAAATAATATATCAGATATGCATATGATATTATTACATATCATTTGTTATCATTATGCTATGTGACCGAGTAAACATGGATATTTGTAACAAGTCAGTTTAATTTCCATTTTCCTGGGACTTTTGAAGTGGACCTTTTTTTTTAATATTTTAAAGGCCATAAATCTATGGATTTGTCATTATCTCATGGGTAGGCTAATATTTAAAAACAAGACAAAGATAAATACAATATTCGATTATATCGATGCTTTTTATTCCTTATAAATCATATTCTCTAATCTATGTTGCACAATCTTTATTATTAACTCAAAAACACACCAATTATCTATCAATAAGGTCACAGGTCAATACTATAAGGGTGACAGGATGAAGATAAAAATATAAAGGTATTTTATCACAGTTGCCAGTAGTTGTAGTTCATTGATATCAATATTATTAATGTTATAATAACACCATTACCTGATAATGGGCACACTAATCAACAAAATCAACACTATAAGTCAAAAATAAAAAAAGATAAACATTCACGTTAGGTGCTGGAAGTACATTATCGGCTTAAATGTGTCAATAAATGTATGAAAATATTTGTAGACTTTAATCCAGGTCGTTTAACGTTATTTAAATTGTGAGAGGTCATTTATAATAAATTAATTCGCTAAATCCCCTGGTTTATAACGTGTGACACAATTTACCTGTCTCGTCGAGTGGTGTAATGATTTGATTAATGACCTCCATGGTCATCCGTCCGTCTATCTACAGGATGACTATTAGAAATTTTTAAAACTGACAAATTTTAAATCATATATTAAATCATATTTTAGAGATCTTTAAACAATAATCGTTACAATATTCTTCACCTTGTGCTTGATATCGACAATATTAAACTTGTCAGTGATTGTTATCCATAAAGTTGTGTTCTTTTGTTATTTCATTGTTCTCGTATTATTATATCACTAAATGTCTTACGAACAAAAAAAAAACGGTTATATCTACAAGAGAGTAGCACTAAATGCGTTTTTGAGTCAAAAGTCATCATTAATAATAATAATAACACTGCTCGAAATACATAACCTTGCCCAACCCATAAATTGAATGTACAAAACTTTATTTTTTTAAAACAAAATAGATCAAATTGCTCTTAATCCGTTTTTGACTGCATTTTATTTTACACGTTTGCATGTTCATTTGCCTGGAAGCAAGTACATGTGTGGGGAAAATTATATTTTTAAAATTCAGGTAAAAAATATTAACGACATTATTATCATTTCGATTAATATCCATATATAATTAACCAGATGACAGATAGTTTTCAACGGTAAAGACAAACAAAATATAAGTCATCTGATATTTCATTGATATTGTATTAAATCTAAAAATATACCTGTCACCAGTTGTGAAGAACAGGGGATCTGACAAGGAAGGGTGTCTAGCCGAGGTCCCGTGTACACACTGGGTGCACGTAAAAGAACCCTTGACGGCTGGGATTCGAAATAAGAGTAGGCCGCGGCGCCTCTAACCGGGCAAAATTTAACCCTATTTCATTTCTTCTTTTTTTAGGGGTCACATTCACTGCCAGGGTAATGACGTATTATATGCCTGATAGACGTAAACTTGTGTAGCTATCTTATGTATGAAAGACTTTTTTAAAGTGGGCAATCTTTTATTGCCGATCCTACGACATGGAGCGTGTACATTACTAACTATGTTCGAATATCGTGTGTTTAACCCTCTAAGGTTTAGACATTGTGGTATGCATCTCGGCACCGTCTGTCAATAGGATCAAGGGATGAAGACACTATTCTATTTTAGGCCCTGAAAAATGGTGATATGTAATAAAATTTTCGTCCAAATCTATATTTTCAAATGCACAATTTCTCTTTTGAAACAGAAAACAAATTAAACATTTAATTGATTAACCGTCTTTGCAAAAATGTTTTACCAACATTAAAATGGCATAATTTGTGATATTTTGATGGAAAAATGGGATATTCTTTTACGGTGTAAACAAGATTGTATTCATAATACATGTAGTAATTTGTAACTGTCAAAATGAGTCAATTCAACATGTGCCTTCTATATCTACAATTATAAATTCCAGAATTGTACATTGTATAGAAGTCGATGTAGTATATATACGTCCTGTCAGAATTAAACAGTCAGTAGCATCGTTACTAACAACCCTCTCCAATTACATCACAGTCTTGTTGCTCTTCGTGTATAGGACAGTTCTCATGTACAAGAGTTGGCCTCAAGATTAATGATGACCGGTGTAGTGGGCACTGGTCAACGCTGATTAGGGAATCACTCCTCTCATGACATAAGGAACGTGTTAAAGACATTCCTTGAACAGGTTACGATGTTGAAATATGCAGCTAGAAATGTTAAATTTCTCATTACTAATAATCTATCAACAATGTCGGATGCTCAAATTATAAAACTGAAAGAGACCATTTTAAAGGGCTTTGTGCGTCTCTGAAAATTACGGGCATATCATATAGTAGCTATTGAACTGTAAAGAAAATATTCTATTTTAGATATAGATCAATTGTATTTTTTGATCGAATTGATCTTGGAATATATAATACGAGTCATAAATACTTGCATATTTTCAATGACAATTACATTTATAGCAGTAATGGTTTAATGGAGCACAAATTATGAATGTGCATTCAGATCCGATAAGCATCTGGATTTCACGAATACGCATTTAATTACTCCAATGTTCAATAATCAAATATTCGATTCAATACAAATAATGATGTTTTGGGATTGTTTTCGGTGCATTTTCTTATTTCTAAAGATTTTGAATCTTACAAATCAACGTTATTTCTCTTTATCTATTTAATATTGAATCATATTTCATATTATTA